GATTTCTAATAAAAAAGTGTCTTTTCATGCCTTCTGATGATGGAGTCTCTGTATCACCTCTGGCTGTCCCGATACCCCTTCGGTGATAATAACCCTGCTTGGGATGACTTCACTTATGTTTATGTATTTCAAATTAACCAAGTAACTTATGGGGGAGACATTGAGGGGAGACATTGTTTAGCTATTCTGTGGCATACATAGTCATTCTGACTTATGTCAGTACAGGCTCGTTTTCCAATGACTCTGGTGACCCCTCTGCTGTAAACACAGCCCTGTGAAATGCTCACCCTGACAATTTATGTTTTCCTAAACGATAGACAGAATGTAGTGGTTTTTTCCTGAATCGGACCTTTAATTTGCATAACACAGCACAGGGCTAACAAAACTGGGATTGTGCCATGAATATTGGAGTGCTAGATGAACTCAGCCACTCAAAAAAGCAAGAGAGAATAATCTACCTTCGCCATTAGAGATGAACACTTATTCCCAAGCACCAGTCCTAGGCTGAACATGCTTCATAGGAGAATTGCTTAAAACTGAACCTCTTTAAAAACAGTCTGTGGCCAGAAGCCATAGCAGAACAGCTTTATTTGGCTTTCTTAAATCAAGATAAACCAGGTTATTTTCATTCATATGTGTATATGGGAGGAGGGGTATGTGTCTCTGTGCTCTTCATACTAAATCCTATTATAAGCCCTTCATGAAACATTAATATGTAAAAGCCGACCTCCCGCCATCTAATCTAGTATAATAAGGGCTTGGATACATTATTAATTTTTGTCACACATCTGAGGCCCCCTTTTATCAAGCAAAACCCCCATCTAAATCCCTTGTTGCGTCATTAAATTGTGAAAACAGCTTCATCATTCATGACAGAAAAATGGAAGGACCCTGAACCATATGGCAGAGGGAGCAGCAGTAGCAGCTACCAGTTTCCCCAGTCCCCTTCTTGGAAAGACTGGTACTTCAAAGAGTCTGCAATGCAGTAGGGTGACAAAATCAGCTGGGGGGTTTTTGTGCAGTATTGGTTTCTTTGCCTGGAAACAGATGAGCCCCACACCAGTGCCAGGGATCAGAGACCAGCTCAATCTGCAGGATTTTGGACTGAATATGAAAGGTGAGGTTGGCAAGTGCAGCTCTGGGGGGATTTCCCTCACAATGCAAGGTCATCTTAAGTCCTCAGAAGTTCAGAAATTGGCACTTGTTTAATCATCCACTAATCCGCTGCTCATGCTGCGAATTAATCATTGTTTGCAAATCAGAAAACACACAATATACCTACCTGCTAAAAGAATGGAACAATTTCTCTTTTTAAAATAGAGAAATGTAAAGATGTGGACTTCTGGACATCTTGCTACTTGTATTTCTAAACCAATACTTTACCTTAAATTTTTATGCTTGTTGTCATTAAGGCCAAGTTAGAGAGATTCTGATTTCACTGACATGCTAATGACAGTTTCAGTGAAAATCTGTGGGACTCTGAGACAAGATGCAGTGACAGTTGTCTGAAATATCATTCATTTTATTCATACAAATAATCCTATCAGATTACTTGCTGGGAAGAAGGATTTAGCCTTTGATAACAAGAAGAATGGCAATTGAGAAAGTAAGATTAATTTGAAGTGAAATGTTAATTTGTATAACTTCATTCAGATTAGGATGACAATGATTAAGAGTTCAGCATAGATGAGAGATAATAACATTGTAGAAAAATGTAGTATAGTCATGTAGTTACATTTTTTAATGTGAATACTGTCAGGATTTGAGCTTTGACAGATAATACGAAATACATGTCATTACCATAGGTGATATTAATTGTTAAAAAATTGGCATTCTATTCTGCCATTTGGGTCTCTTTGTGTCAGAAGGTTCTAACATTTGAGTATACACAAATGAGCTAAAATGGTTGCTCAGCTTTGTTTTATAAAAAATAGCCTGCGATTATTGCAGACTTACTTTTGAAAAAATGCTTGGCACATACAGTCAAAACTGGCATTTCTATTTTAAATATATAGCTGCATTGAGAATTGATTCTCTATTGTGTAATCTAACAATGCTGTATTAATTTCAAAGAATCTTTCCTGATTTACAGTAAATGTTTAAATAGTTCACTTAGGAAATCAGTGAGGAAATACTGACGTAGCATTTTAGTATTGCTTTTGGCAGGGCAAGGGGTTTGTTACAGATTTCCAACATAAAGGACATTTAAAGGGTGTATCAGAAGTTTAAAATATAATGATACTCAAATTATCTTGAGATGAGGTGATAAAACTGAGTACATTTTCACACCTTTCCATATGTGTGTGACAGCACAGCAGGCAGTTTATTCACAGACAGCTGCAGTAGCATGAATGTGAAATAGGGAATATTAATTTGAATTAAATTATTAAATTTCTATATTATAAACAAAACATGTGCTTATTTATAGGACCATGTAGCCTGAAATTCACTATGGCAACAGCCTTAACACTTGTTTATCCCTTATATTTCACTTAATTATCCCTCTACTGAAAACATTTCACAATTGCTAAAACATAACTTCTACTACAGGAATTTAAAACACAATGAAAAACACCACAGCATAATTTCTCTGGTTGAACCAGTGGTGGGTAGTCACTATTGTTACTATTTAAGTTTTTTTTTTAATTTGTATGTTTGTCAGTTGCTGATTCTTGTCATCTCTTTCCAGAGGCCTAAAGCATACACTTATACCAAGCAATTTTTCCAGTGGAATTATTATGCATACTTACAATCAGATTACCTCCCAGTAATCTTTTTATATACATGTATCCTGAATACATAGTTCTTGCTTTTTCTTTCACTAAGCATCACTTTATACTGTCATTTCTGAGGCAATTAAAGATCTCTAAAGCAATCTCTAATTTTTCAACACCCATACTAATATGAATGAGTCCAAATTACACACAGAAATCCAAGGTCAACGTCATTGACTTAAATACACTCATTGCACTAGACAAAGAAAAATAAACATTCTAGGATTACACTGATTACTTTAGTAGAGCCTCACGCTGGAAGCTTGTGATGTGTTTCTAGTCCCACATGGCTTAAGATCCCTCTCAGTGAGACTACTTTTCAGAGTGTTCCTTCCCTCTCTGATGTTACCTTGCACTCAGGTGTCATGTATTGAACAGAATTCAGTCAACCAAAAATTTAATTTATCATGTGATCGACTGGATCCTTTGGTAGCCACAAGTTTATCAGCATTTACACCTGTTCCCCAAATGACTGATGAAATGTGAAAAGCACAGCAAGTATCAGCAGTACCATAATGGTATTTGAATCTTTGAAAGGTTCATAGACTCTAGGCAGATAATCATCAGTCTCCCAACGGGAAAAATATCACAAGTCCAGTTACAGCCACTGGCTTGGTTGTGAAAAACACAAAAAGAAAAGAAGGCCCACACCACTTGGGGTGCCTACCCCAAGAAATCTGGGTTCCCTACAGAATATTTAGGCAGTGAGATGCCTGGGAATGATACAATACACCTGAGTCATGAAGTGCTTCCACAGGAATAACACCTAACTAGAAAAAATACACCTACCTTAACTGGAGTAGTCCTCAGTTATTGTCATAAATGTGAATGTTTGTGAAGAAGAGAAAAATCAGATTCGGCATGACAACTAGTGTGCTTCTACTAATGACTTTTCCTGGCTATGTCCCCGCCATTGTCTTGCAAATCTCTGTAGTTGCATCACTTTACATCTGAATTGGTTCAAATGGCTTTTCTGATGTTGTTTGGGTGAATGAAGACAGCTTTTGATTCTCTGGGTCAGATTCTGCAGCCTTTACTCAACCAAAACTCCAATTAAACCTTAGTAGTTACAGACGGTGTAAAGATGCAAAAATTATTAAAGGAGGAATAAAAGGTTAATAAAAATGGCTGTTAATGGCTATTTCAAAAAGTCTTTCAGATTTCTGAACCATTATCAGAAAGATGGCACTTGTAAACAGAAAGACAATGGACACCCCACTTTAAAAATTCTATGTTTTGATTTATTTGTTTTTAAGGGTAGTATATTAGCGTTTTCTCAGTTACAGAGCACTTCTCTGTTTGCAAATACTGGTGTCTACTGTAGATCTGTCTAAAATCTATTTATCTTGAGGAGACCACCATTTTTTGCTTTAGGCACACTCTCTCCTTCCTCTCAGTCTCAAGCACACATAAGCCATCTTGTTCATCAGGCTGAGCCTCTCTGCCCATCCAGGCCCACCTTTCATGCTGCCCACTCCTGAGAAGAGTTAAAGGTATAATGGCTGGGTTTAGTATCCATGTGCACTTAGTGCGGTACTGCTTTGAAGAGTGGCACTAGGACCTTCGCTGCTTCTGCAAACCATGAGCCTGTGGCATTAAGCAGGGACGTGAAAGCCTCATGTGTCTCGAATACTCAGTGGATCTAATTAACAGGTAGAATCGCACCCTGGGTGCTTGAAAAATTGCCAGACACCATAGAAACGAGTCCTTAAGTCCCCGGACCATCTGCACTTTCTTTTCATTGTGGAAGTCTCATTTAAGCATGTTTTTCGACCATTCTAAATTCATTTATGCTTAAATGAAAAATTCCTGCTGACGGTTTTCCTTTTCATTAAAACAAAAATAATTAAATTCTTTAATTCAGTCATTGAGGAAAAAAAAAAAAAAGAAAAAGAAAAAGCTCTCTCAAGCTTTGATGAAATAATGAATATTTGAATTTGCCTCTGAATACGTGTTGTTTGAATATCGCTGCCACAACCTCCTTAATGACTGTCTAAAGGAAAAGGAAACCAACATGAGATATCCCCGGCAAAAGCGGGGGCTTGCTGGAAGGAGGGTGCGCAATACGCCACCGCAGCGGAGCTCCCGGATCGCATGCAAGCGTCCTTCCCTCCCTAAGGCCGTGCCTTCGAGCGGGGCTAAGCGAGGCCGCAGGGAGCCCCGGCCGCGCCGGCCCGGAGCTCAGCCCCGCGCCCCGCTCCGCAGCCCGGCCCCTCGGCGTGTTACCTGTTCGCTGCCAGCCGCGATGAGATGTACCCTCCGGGGATCTGCGTGATTATGTATCCCCAGAAAAAAGAGCCGTGGATCATGCCGACTGTTTCAGGATCCCAATTGAACTTCGCTTTCTTCCAGCGCAAGGGGCCGGGACAGACAGAGAGAAAGACAAGAAGAAGGCTGTAATTGCGCCACTTGAGAGCTTTCACCCGCAGCAGCTCCACCCGCAGTGCCATCCAGGGGTCCCAGCGCCGTGCTCTGCCCCAGCCCCCCACGGCAAACGCCAGAGCAGCTAAACAAACCCGCAAAGCCACAGCAATGGAACCAGCACCGCCCGTGCCTCCCCGACACCCCAGAGGGCCGGGGGGCCCCGAGTGCCCTGAGCCGCCCGGGCGAGGCACGCAGGGGCAGGCCGGGCAGGGCCGGGCAGGGCCGGGCGGCGCCGGCAGCTCGGGCCCACGGCCACAGCCCTGCGCGGCCGGAGGAGCACAGCCCGCTCCTGCCCAGCAAGCCCGAAGGGTTCGTCTGTGGATCTGGGTGTTTAAGACTCATCTGCGTTTGCCGCATCGTTCTCACCACGCTTTAACTCGCTTTAAAACGGCTCTTATCATTTAACGCCTTTTGTCAAAGCAAATTCACCCTGGTGTTTTCAAACATTCCTGCAAAACCTCCCCGCCTCCTTTACGACGAGATGCACCCGCTAACAGCCCCTTATTCGATGCTCTTCTTCTCCCATCCCCTATGTTTATTTTAGGAGGTATCTGCCTTTTTTTAAGGCTGTGTGGGAAAGACACGACGGGGGGCGAATTGTACGCACAGTAATACCACAAACTGGGGCTAGGAACTGAAATTAAAAAGTAGAAATAATCGGTAGAAATTGTTTCTGCGTCAAGAACGGGATTTCCGTCCTTCGAAGGGCAGCGGCGGGACCGGCAGGGGGAGGGACCGGGGAGCCTCGGGGCTCGGGTGGGGGGAAATGCCGCGAAACCATCCAGAGCCCGTCCCAGCTGTGCTGAGGTGTTTGACTGAGAGTTGTACTGGGGAGGATGTGGGATTTACGAGGGAAAAGTTCCCACCTCTTTTATAATTTTTCCTCCTCGGTGTATGGTGCTGTTATTGACCATATCCACGATGGCCACTCCCAAGTTACATCGGATCCCGAAGGAAATGCAGAATCCCAGTCCACTCATGATGGCAATGATGTACCTCCGGGGCAGCCCGAAGCAGGTACAGTCGCACAACGGGGCTTTCTTTTCGGGCACTTCCATGGGTTTTCCATCTTCAGTCAGCTCGATGGTGTCCCCGGGCTTCTGCCTCTTCTCTAGAACTCTGTCCGACACAAGAAGGGAAAGTCAAGGCCTGGCCGCCTGAAGGCACAACAATTTCGGGGAGCTGGAGGCTTAAATTCACCGTTCCCCTCGCTCCTCTGGCTTGGAGATCGATTTGAGGATTTATTCCTTGCTTCCCGTTCACCTTCAACTGTTCTTTAGCAATGACCTGTGGGAGTCACGATTAGTCATCCCCAAGTCCCCCCGCCACCCCTCCGCAGCAGCCCAGGGAGGAGCTCTAGCTGGGAATTGCTCATCTATCATTAAAGACTTCTGCTCAAATATGTAGGGCGCATCAAGAAGACATCATGTGTGAGCACTGCAGAGGCGCCATGTTGGGCAGCCCAAGAGGCGCAGAACAGAAGCTGGCTTCGGGAGGTTTTATCACCTCCCTGCTGCACCAGAAACACCAAGGGGTCATCTTGGTGCGCACCTCGCTTCAGCTCTGCCAACAAAAGAAATGTCAGGAGAGAAAGACGGGAGGGAGGAGCGAGGGGGAGAGGGCGATATTGCTATTTATTTTAGATTTGCAAAATGGCTGTCACATGCAGTGAAAGAAAACACGACCGAGAGCTGGCATCTCCGGGAAGGCTTTCCCCAAGATCTCAGTGCTCAGCTGGGAGCGTGTGACCGCTGAGCAGGTTTAACCTTCCCAGAGCAGCTTTAAGCACCATCTCTAGCCCTCACTCCCTCAGTTTTACTTGAAAATCCTGTCTCCTAGAGAACAATCTGAAGGAATCTGAAGGGAAATGGTTGTTTGCAGCTATTTCCAATCAGCTGGAAAATACCACGAAACGTGATTTAGAACATTCAGATTTTTTTTTTAAATCTTTTTAAATGCTGTGTCGGTAGCAAGAAAATCAGGTTTATAGAGCAAGTGTCCCATACTGAAGCCCTAAATATTCTTCTGAAATCACTGAGATATTTAGAAATCAGAAAAGCTAACCAATTTTGTCGTCTTGAGAAGCAAATACGTGACCATTTTCGGACACTCTGGACTCTACAACCGCTGCCTCTCAACTCTGCTGTAGAAGTGTTTTCTCACTCGGAGGAGCATCTCTTTCAGGTTAACTCATCCGGCTGATAGGGCAGTAACAATTAGCAGAATAAGGATTAAAAGGTTATCCGTGTTCGGGAGAAAATACAGGGATTTTCTCCAAAAACGACTCAGCTGAAATTCTCTTGATTTTTCTTTTCTGAGCATATTATTTCTACGCTTAAAAATCGCGGCATGAAGAAATGTGTTAAAGTTGTGAATAAAATAAGCCACCGTGGGTTTATGTTCAAAATTCGTTCGTGTGGATAAAGGGTAGGAGTGCTTTCTCCCTGAATGGCCGTCTTGTCTTCGGAAATAGGCAGGAAATCAATGTGTAAGAGGCAAGAAAATTGTTTAAATTCTAAGAAAAGTAAACAAAGTACTTAATTGCCGTGAGCTGAAAAAGATCAGCAAATCACGCGTTTGGTAGTCGAGGTGTGAATTCAAACGGAGTTTTGCTGGAAAACACAAACACCGTTTCTCCATTATTCACTGTGTGACTACAAGTAGTAGATATAATAGTTTTATTTAAATGTTGTAGAGTCTTTAAGAACGAAAAAAAGGTGTATTTCCTAAATTATAGTTTAAGCAGTTATTCTGGATTATCCTTTTTTATTATTATTAATTTTCAACTATTGAAAATGACTTGAATATAACCAAAAACCGTAGGAAATGAATTGCATTGTTGATGACTTTAATTTTGTTTTTGGCTTTTCTTAATGGTACACTTCCTATGAAAATGGAAGCCTTAATTTTGTCTATATCACTTCACTGGTAAGTCCCCTACCCTTAAAATGGCAGCAGAAGTTGTGACTCATGCTGTGAAACAGCCTGGTGTCTGTGCCCAGCACTGCCGCATAGGTATGGAAAAAAGATTTTTACGTGACCTACCCTGGGCAGACAAATCCGCAGTTACCTTATAGCTGCAATTCCGAAAAAAAACCCCAAACCTAAAAACCAAACAGACATAAAAAACCAAACCAAACCAAACCAAAAAACCCAAACAATCAACCAAAAATCAAACCAAACTAACAAAACACCCCAAGCCAAAACAAATATTTCGGGGTAATTTCTAGCAGACGGTACCATCGAAAATTATTCAATTTTACAGACTATTCTCAAACGTTGTGGAGGTCACTAAAGTCACCAGATTGGATGGAGAACAATGTGTGAACTTTAGTGCACGCACTTTGTAGGTATGCAAGTATCTGGGTTTATTCATCTGTGTGCACAGGGCTCGAAGATGATAGAAATGTTCTTTACACACATAAATATACAAGAGTGATGCTTTTGAGTTTAGCAATTGCAGCTGTATATAATTTATAGGACAAGCAGATGCTTCTAAATGCAGATGGATAAATAATTAAACACATTCCTCTATATGTTTCAGCTTCAGGAGAAAAAAAAATCGTTTGGATATCAATTATTTATGCATCTCCATGTTTACCTTCATCTGACGACGAATTACACAAAGGACAAGACTAAATCAAAACCAGATTTTTTAAAAATATATATTTGTTAAGGGCAGGGGGCAAGATAAGGGAAATTAAGATGGAACAAAAATACAGGTTGCTGCTCTCTCCTGATTAGGATTTCAAGATGGGATCCTGTTTTTGTAGAAGAAAGGTGGGGTAATCTTTTGCTGCATCTTTACTGACAACATCTACGAGTCAGATAGGGAAGTTACGAGGGTGCCATATTGAGCAGCTTCAGCACTAGTTTCCAGGATCTAGATTATATCCAGCAGAATCGCAACAGCTCCCAACCCTGCCACCCCTAACCTCAAAGCGTTCGACCTCCTGCAGCAACGGGCGCTTACGAAAAGCTTCCAAATTTTCCTGGGAAGTAGAATACTGTAAGAGAATCGGTCTTACCTGTAGAGTTGCCCGAGCGATTTTCCAGCAAAATTCTTCAATCCCTCCTTGCCGGGAGTCAAAATCCTTTGTTTTACCGACTCCATTCCTTTGGGGATGCTCGCTGGATAATGCTCTGCTCTGGATACGGCACTGCTACGAGCAACGATGGTTCATATTGGTTTAATCTCTTAACTTTTCGTCCTCATTCAATGGCTATCGGTTCACCTACGGGTAAAGGGAGAATGAGAGGAAGAGCGCGCGCGTGTGTGTGAGCGAGGTGGAGACGGCGTGCGGAGTCGGGGGGGGGCGAGGGCGAGGGAGCGCGCCTGTGTGCGGCAGCGAGAGGGGCGTCGGAGCGCGCTGCAGGCAGCCCCCGGGGTTCCCGGCAGCGCGGAGTTGCCGGGCACGGTCAGAAACTCTCCTCGGCCTCGCAGGGTTCAGCGGCGGCGGGCGGAGGCAGAGCCATGCCCGGCACGGAGGGGCCGGAGCTCTCGGCGGCAGCGCCGGCGCGGCGGGGGCGGGGTGCGCTCGCCGCCCCCGCGCTCCGCTCCGCCGGCGCTTGGCCCCCTCAGCACCGCGGCCAGCGCCGCGCCCGGAGAAGCGGGCCTTGGTGCGGGCAGGGCCGGCTGGGCGCGCCGGGCACGGCCGCTCCAGGGCTGCTGTGGTGCTGCACGCAGGTAACACCCTTATCTGCTTACATAGGTAGAGGTATAGCTCTGTATCGGTATACAGACACAGCTTTATACAGGTATGTTTGCCTCTATATCCACGTTTACACATGCAGCTTACTTTAGATCGTATTAGGAATCCGCTAGTGACTGCTTTCTCTAAAGCATTTAATATTTTCCACCTCTTTTTTCGTCCTGTTTTTTCATGCCTCTGGGTAGGCCACCATAACACGGTCTTGTGTTATTTGTGGTATTTACAGCACAGGAATGAACTGAGCATATTCTGAAGACAATTATTTTGCCTTTCAGAATCTAATAATAATAAACTTCTATCTCCTTGAAGAAAATGGAAGATGCAAAAATCGGTATTTGTAAGTCATAGCTATTATATTTCTCTTATTTCATTTTAAAGTTTCTGTAATGTGCTACTTGAAAAAAAATTAAAATTTGCGTTTTAAGGAAGTCCTTCTAATATTATTAAGCTCCTTCACTTGCTTCACTTAGTGAGTAACTAAATGCAAACTGTATTTTCAAAGGAAGATTCCCTGATGAAAACATATGTTGCAGTTGCAATACCCAAAAAGGAACTGCTCTTTGGGTTTATAGAAATATTTCTTTCAGATGTTGCCCTCTGCTGGAGGGTTAATGAAGTTTTACAGAGCCAAAGCACATTTATGCAAGACCAATTATTTTAATACTGAAATTCCCATAATGACTGATCCATGCAGAATTTCAATAACCCCTTTCAAAATTGTGAAAGAACTACGAAGTACTAGAATGGAATGAATAAGCCATATGAAATTGAAATGTTGCTAATTAGCATCATACCACAGCCCTGATTTCTACATCACGGTCGCTATTGGATGTGGTTTGCAGCATTGTCACTACCATTACAATCCTGAAAGGCTTTTTCCCAGAAGAGGAAAAGCTGCACAGTTACATAAGCACCACTTGCCAGTGTATCATGGCTCCACTGTGCCATTGCAGATGCTCAAAGGAAACCCATATTAATAGCTTTTTCTGAGAGGCAGCGGGAACAGAATATTGTTTTGCAGGGATGCATTAAATGGGATTGGATTCTGTAATTCAAGCCTTTCAGAAAGGTACCGAGTCCTTTTCTGAGCTGGAATTTGAGGCTGTAAAACCTGCTGGGCTTTGTTTATTTGTGCTCTGCAAGGAGCTCAGGCCCTTTTTTTAGAAAGCTCATCCCTGGCAGGGCTTTGATGCTATGGCTACTAAGTAGCAGGAATAATTATTAGCAAAAGAATAGGATTTAATAAATAAATGATGTTTGATTTGAGAAAGATAAATAATTTACCATATCACACCAAACAGAGAAGAAAAGTTCCAGATGGCACATTCCTGATTGTTTCTCTTATTAGAGGAGAATTAGATAGTCCTTAATTGCATAAAATATGTAAAATAGCAAGCAACCCTGATACAGTGAAATCCTATAGTGACTAGGCTCTGCTGCTGTAGCTATCTGAAAGAGAAATTTTTTGTCTATCAGATGGTACATCCAGATATTACTGAGTCACGTCCTGATCAATCTCAGCTGGTTTGGCTTCACACGAGAGCAGTAGACAGCTAATCTCATTAGTTCTACAAAACTTGTACAGTCTTCTCAGCTTTTTAAACATAATATATTAAGTATATTTAACCTTGATAGAATAAGCCATTTCTAGAAGAAACAGCCTATAACAATAATCAAAATTGCTATTGATAGTTATTTTTATAACAAACACCTGCCATAGACAGACCACTCACAGAAGTGCATTCAAACTTCAGTGAAATCGCAATGAGCTCTTTCCACTGGTGTCAGTGGTAAAGGGAAATAGGAACTTTTGCAGAATGTTCTAGCACAGATGATCACTGCTAAATGATCACATATTGACCAGCAGGAAAGAGATTCAGCCAAAAGTTGCTAAGTAAAAACTGTGGCTCTGAAATGGCTCTAACAATATCTGTGGGATGATACGGTGTAATCCAAGATGCTGCAGATGTCTGTGTTTTTCACATAGAACAGAAAACTTATTGTTTCATCCTGAAATCTTGCAATTAAATACAATTTTCTTCATGTCATTGGTTTTCTTTAACTTTTGCTCATGACAAGGCTAAAGGATTGAATCTTTATGTGTCTTTTTGTTTCCTATAAATAGTTAATTTTCACAAATTTTGAACTGAATTATTTCAAGAATTTAATCTCTTTCAGTGGTGAAGAATTACAGATGTGGTTCTTAGCTCATTTTTTCTTATTGCTATGCATCTAATCTCAAAATTTTCTACAATAACCCTCAGAATAATGCCTAAATATTGTATAGCTCTCTTAGAAAAGTTCAAAGACAACACTCCAATATAAATCCCTTCTCTTTAAATGTTAGGCTTTCTGGAGAAAACTACACAGTAAGCTAAAATTTTCATCATGGTACCTATCAGTGATTTAAAAATAGTAATTATTTAAATTCTATTTTTGACCTTATCTTTGCTGTTGATTCACTGCAAAATGAATTTTCTCTGTCCCAAGTGTCATGCAAGCAGAATTTATAAATGGACGTATATTTTATGATTCATTTTGAAAAACAAGCAAATACGTATTACTTTAACTTCATATGATCACGCATAAAAAGTCTAAGACATTTTGTTATTCCTGTTTACAGAAAGGTGACAAAATACTGCTCTCAATAATACAGTGTCATCTTCAGGAAAAAATTATGTGCTCAAAATCTTAGTGATGCCGTTAAACCGCTATGTGTAATACAGACTTCTGGTACTGGGGATAGCATAAAAATGCCTCAAAAATATGGATTATCATCTAATTATTACTCCTTTTTTTATGGTAGCCGTCCACTAAATCAAATGGAATTTGATGTCAACTGAAGAACAAAGCAATTTTTTACCTTCTTTGGGACTATGGAACTGTGAAATCACACAGCAATGACAAAATAATCATCATGCTTGCCAGGCCACCAGAAAGAAGGTTTTCTGGAAGAAGCAAGAGCTTTGTAAACTCTTTTTTAGTAAACTGTTTATTGAAAAAAAAATTCTATCATTAAAAGAAAAGATTGAAATAAAATCTTGTGCCAAATCTTGACTTAAGAGGCAGAAAAATGTGTCAAAAAGATTGGTTTAAATCAGGAATTTTCTCATTTTCCCTGAAAATTTGCAAGGATAACTTCCTGAACTACTTTGGTGGGCTTTTGTCATATTCTCCTGAGTCACGGTGATTCACCACTGGACAAGTGCCCTGAAAAACTGCACAATACATCATTTTGAGGATTTAGATGTAGTGTCCATGAGTTGACATATTAAAGATGTGTCTATGCTGAATTTTGCGTGCCAAGCTGTAAGGATTCCTGAATCCAAGTTAAAACTGAATGAAGTTGGGTTGACAAAACTTTATAGATAATTTTGCCTTTTGGAGGCCTGTCCATCAGTGTCTAAACCTATATTTAATGAAATGAGCTGTGCCTATAGCTCCAGACCCAGGCTGTGAGCACAGGGGGTTGTTGTGTCCTGTTGGGAAGTGTATCACACCACAGTGTCCAAAGGAAGAGCTGTCACCTGCTGCAGTGCTCACAGAACTCCTTTCTGCTTCCTCACAATCTGTGATATTTTCATCTTGAGTGGTACTTTAATTTCCAGGCCAGATTGGTGATTTGTATCATGCAAGAAACACGGCACAAGTTGAACTGTCGGATCAGATCTTGGCTCTGTATTTCCACAGCAACGCAATTATCCTTCTTACTTTGTGTCCGAAAGTGAACACGCTTGGACTGAAATATGCTAAAGAATGCATGTGTCTGGGCTGAACTTACACACTCACATGGTCCCTCTCAACCAGATTGTGCATTTTTGAAATAAAAATCTGGAACTTCAGGCCACGATCACAGGGAAAAGTAGAAAAATCTAGCAGGTAGCTGGCCACAAAGGCAATATGAAAGTGGCTGTGGACTTTGTCAAGCAAAGTAGCTTTTCCACTGCTTCAGCTAAGTTTGATATTTGGCAGCTTAGTGCTTGCAAATTGGGCTACTCTTTCAGATGCCCTTATTCAGTTGCCAGAATGTTACTGCATTGCTTTGCCAGTAGTCTAGTAGGCACCAGAAATGAAACGTGATGGAGTACAGGTTTTTCACACATTTTTCAGGGCAGTTTCTAGTTTTAAACCAAACTGGAGGTAATTTGTTCAGGGATCTCTGCACTAACAAAGATGATGAAATAGTCTAAAGATATGCTACAAACTCCAGGGTTCTGGGGGTTGTGGTGGTTTTTTTTTTGTTGTTGTTGTTGTTGTTTGTGGTTTTTTTGTTTTTTGTTTTTTTTTTTTTTTAATTTAGGAATATCTTGTTTCTAAGCATGTAAATTCTCAGTGTTCATTCGAATAGTGCCTCATTATCAGATAATCTAGCTCATGTTGAAGCTGTTCCTTCAGCCCTCTAGTGGTAAAAGGACTAGGTGAATGACTAGAATTGCAGTCAATTTTTGTGTTCTATTGGTATTGCAGATTTCACTCTGGAAAAAAAAATCTCTAGATGATTTCCACTTACTATACAGGACTATTCCACTGCTGGAAATGTTTCTGTTATGTTACAAAAAGATTCATTTATTTCCTCCATCCTGCCTTTGTTCATTTTTAGTATCAGCAGATAGATTGTTAAAAACACCCCCAACAAACTAATAAAGATCCACCCAACAGCAAATGCTTTTTAAATCATTAAGCAACGATATTACTTTTCTTCTTTTTTTTTTTTTTTTTTTTTTTTCCTGGTATATCTGTGGAGAAATTCAGCAGCATTGAATACATTTATCTTAAAAGTAAATGC